AGGTGTTTGACGAGCCGAGCTCGCTGCCTACACACGTGTTTTTGTGATACCGCCTACTTTTGTTCTAGGTGGGTTTTAATTTAAAATTTGTTACGCCGTATGTGTTTCTTTGATGTTGAGTTGGTATGATTTAAGTATGTGTGTAAACCATGTAGCCTATCGGCGTGAGCCAATTTCGGCCGTCGGTACGGTTGTCCCCGTCGATGTAATACGGTTACCTTGCGAGGTAAGTCTCCGTAAGACCTAATGAAAGGTTGTGTCTTGTCGTATGGCACGTACCCCCATGAGTTAGGGTAATGAATCCCCTTTCCTTGGCTAATGAAAGATGTGTACACGTGGGTAATATGTTGTGATGTGATTAGGAGACGTAACAGAATAACTGATTTATGTTCATACTTTAACCATACATCCTTTACATTATTATTGATGATATATGTGCATAGTGGTGAGCACGCTTTTTCATCTTGTGCTCATCCCCACCTGCTCTTCACGGATGCAGGTTAAGCAGCTGCAGGGTGACGAGGAAGAGACGAGTGGGTCGGTCATTTATTTATGCATTTTATTGCTTCCGTTAGAATAAATAAGGCTATGTTGGACCTTTATGTCGAGACATGTTTAAACTCTTTTCCAAAACGTATGACTTGTTTTGTTTTTGGGGAAACTTGTGGAACCCTTGATGCTGAGTATGATGATTTGGTTTGATTATTCATTATGTCTCGTGATATGCTTTGGTTAATGAAAACCATTTGTGAAAATTGGGTAATGAATCCCCGTGGGCCCAGATAAGACTTGGGTTATGAAAAATGTTGCTTAACACCCATTGAATTTCGAAAATGCTCTCGAAAATTTTGTACTGATTTTTGGAAAGTCCAAAATTTCTGTAAAATCAAAGTGGGGTGTTACAGTTTGGTATCAGAGCCGGTCTGCATTTCTGTAGACTGGTTTATATGTGAGTATGTGTTGAGACCGTGTAATATGAACACTCGTCTCCGTCACTCCGTGCTGCTTAAGGTATGTTTTGTTTAAGTATTAATGAAAGTACTTGATATGTAAATGATGCATATGTAGCAATGAAACTACTTGTGATGAACTTGTGATTTGGGGCTTAGGATCTATCCACCTTGATTTTTATCGAACTCTAGTATTTATTGGCGAACTCTAGACTTCTGTAAATATTGATTATTTTGTTTGTTTTTGTGCTAAACCTTGTTCGACTTATTCAATGTAGAAGTATGAATACCCGCAACAACCGTAACCGTCAGGCATCCCCGCAACCTTCTCCGCCTCGTCAGCACCAGGCCCCGCCAGCCATGGACCTTACTCAGCTTATTGTCCAGTTTCAGAGGATGAATGCACTAACTTTTGCGGGGACTGAGAACCGCACAGCGGTGCTGGGGTGGATCAAAGAACTGGACAAGATATTCGTTGTTCTTCCCCTCCCTGACCGTCAGCGGGTATCCCTCGCAGCTTATCAGATGAAGGACGACGCTTCCGACTGGTGGATTGACCACTGGGCTCGGAGGCCAAAGGCGGAGCTTCATGCACTCTCTTGGGAGCAAATGAAGATGATGGTGCGTAGTATGTTCCTCCCCCAGAGCTTTTGGGACAGAATGGAGCATGAGTTCTACCACTTGCAGCAGGGCAG